TTAATGTATTTATTACTGATATTGACAACTTTTAATCCGAAATGTAGTACTTGACACTTATTGCATTTAATACGTATTTATTGAATTTATTACATATTTCATTGACAATAAGCATCAGTTGATTAAGATTTGTATTTCTGTTTAGTTTGCATATGATATCCGATCCCATGCGAACTCCATGTGGTCATCAATTCTGTTGCACGTGCATTCAGACTGTGATACAGAAGAAGAACGCACAATGTCCACTTTGCAATAGACCGCTTCATCGTCGAAGCATTTCTATAGACAAGCCCCTGGTGGAGTATGTAAATAGATTACACAACCTAGTTCAGGCGATTCAACAAGATTCGGGTGTCGACTGTGAGTACTTATATTTTATCAAATTATATAAGTATATCTCATAACAGGAAGACGTTTCTGATTATACTGATTATTATTCAAAATGAAATTTGTAGGGTGTCAATTTAAAACATGATAATTTAGTAAGAATATTCTTTAATTCTTTAAACATCATTCTATGCATTCTGCACTTTTGCCCCTTAAAATATATTTTTTATATTTTTAAGTACTCAGTTTTGCTGTACATGTATAAAATTGGCAATCTAATAATGAGTTGTTTACCTTTCATTTTTTTTTATCGACCTTTTGACCTGATTTTATTGATTTATTTTTTTTGTTACCTTATTCCACTGTTAGTTTAAATGATAGTCAAAAGCGTCATTACGTTGATTACAACTATTCTAGTTATTGCCAAAAGAAATAGATACGTAGTATACTATTATGCAAGAAATAAATAAGTATTGGTACCAACGATTGATGAAAAATGAATAGCAGTTATTAGATATTATATTAATAGATTACTGTCAAAAATTTTAGAAATTTTGTCAGGTCATTAAAAAACTTACTACATCTTGAATTTTCATGTTGAATGACAGGATTTCATTCATGAAAAATATAGATGCAACAGTGAGAGAATTTTGTAATTTTGTATAATTGGTAATACGTGCTTTTAGAATATTTTTAAGCTAAAATAAAACCAACATCGAGGGTATTATTTAAGATGCACAATAAAAAATAGGCAATAGTAAAAATTGTAGAACTTGGAGATAAGTTTCAAGTCAGGTATAAACTACTCAAAATGTTTCAAAATCATATATCAAAATATTAGAAATTCCACATTAGAAGTTGTCTGTGACTGGAAACAGATCGAAATAAGCCTCGTAGAAATAAACCCTACTTCTCACATGAGCCGTTTAGTTTAAAAGTGGCCTAAGTCCATTTATTTAAAAATTGAGATATTTAAGGATTTACGTTTTAATAAATTAAAAAAAATCGGCCACTGATAATATCGTAGTGTTTCCTAGAGAGTATAATTTACCATCCCAATTAGCATAATAAGCATTTTTTAAAAAGTAATATGTTTTCAATGATTATAAATGGGCTTAAGCCGCTTTTAAAAGCAATGAACAAACTTTTTAAATTCTTAAAGAGGCGTAAGTTCATGGAGAAAAATTTCCTTTGAAATAAAAAGAAATATATACAATTTTGTTATAAAATTAAGAAATATTCAACTTTTATTCAGTATTAGAAGAATGTTACATTAAAATTAATAATATTATGCAATTTATTATTCACTATTCTTCAGTTTGCGTTTGCGGGAGATATTTAAAATAATTATGGTATGCCGGTAAGTGCATATGTAGTGTAAAAAATCCATTAAATCGTTATATTTTAGCGTTGCGATTGGTCTTGTTTTCTCGTATATTTTTTTATTTTTATTTATCCATTAATGTTTGTAGACTTACGCTCATTACAATCATACGTGCGAGTATTTAATGTTGAAAGTTTACAGGTACAATATCTTTTATATGGTTTAAATCAAAGCTGCACAGCATAGGCTCTGGTTGGCAAAGGCAGTCAGGGCCAGGGTTCTCATAATTTGTCCCTCGGACGGAAAGTGGGGGCGAGGCGACCATGGTGGGGACTGGTACTTGATGGGGGTGTGCTAGACATGGTCAGTGAAGGCGCATGAGGAGAATAGTAGTGGGGATCGAAATACGGGCGAAAAAGAGGGGAAGCGAGCCGTGCGGGATAAATTATGAGATCCCTGGCCAGGGCTGCTATGAAAAATCCCTCACGGCGATTTCCCCTCCTTTCGCGTTCTCCACCACTATTCCCCTCTTGCGCTTTTGTCATGCTCTCTGCAGTGCCATCGCCAAAGTATTTCGTCCTGGTGACTTCTGATTTTAATTCTGACAGTGACAATCTAATCCACGGTCTTAAAGATTATAAAATCGTGGTCTAACGTAAACTCTAACCCTAACAGTTATAATTAACCATGTAATTAACCGATATCCATTACAGTTTTATTTTATAAAAATGTATTTGATGTTGATGTCGACATTGCCAACTTGACGAGATATACAGTCAATATACAGTCAAAACAAGTCTAGTGATTTTAAAAATCACTGACCATGCCTAGCATACGCCCACCAAGTACTAATCCCCACTACCGGCGTGAGGGATTTTTCATAGGAGCCCTGAGGGCAGCCTCGGTTGCCCGCGGGCAATCTCGCGGGCATTCAGTAGTGGGGGACCGGCCTTCGTGGTTCAGATAAGATAAGACAGACGCTCATGAGGAATTATTATAAAATTTGCATGCAAACGGCAGGGAAACTGATTCCTCAATTAGAAAACAATAATTGGCTAAAAGATTTGGCGTTAATTTCGGACCTCATTGACCACTTGAATACATTAAATGTCAGGCTGCAAGGCAAAAAGAAAACAATAATCTGAGATTTCAATACGAGAAAAAGGGCCTAGCTGGATGAGGGGCTCAAATGTGCCCTTGAGCGGAATGAAGCGCCGTTTGCGCCATTCGATAGCTGATCAAAAAAGAAACATTCACTCCAATTTTTAGCCCTATATCTCAACCAGCGGGGTAGTAATCGGGAAAATTCGAAAAATCAGTTTTTTGAGGTTTTCTTTTATTTAACGCCTCGCGAAAAATCTGAGAAAATTCTGACGAATTCATAATGTCGCTGGACATGTCTGAGAATTTTTTCAGATTTTTCCTTTGCAAAATGTAGCCGTGAAAAATAAAAGAGTGCTACAAATAATTTTTGTACATAGAAATCTTGAGACGACTAGATCTATATTTGTATGGTAGGTGCGTATTGTTTCAAGGATTGTTCATGAATTTTTTCAGATTTTTAGGATTAGTGCGTCAATGTGAAAAAAATCAAAAACTATACATGTCTCATGTTCAAGTACGGAGACGGA